CAAAATCATGGTCCTCTCACCAYGGTTATAACCAGGAAAGGGAAAGGGAACAGCACAGAAAGCCCTGAAATTCTCTGTGCTAAACCATCAGARGTTCACAGCAACACCTGAAGGAGAGCAGGTTTCCTGGAGACTTTTCTCCAAAAGGACACTTTCCAAAGAAGCAGCACATGGAAACCTACAGCACATCAGCAGCTCGTATTAACAGACTGATCAAATGGTTTCATTGCTCGGAGGTTTTGTTTCTTTTTCATCACAAACACCTTCATCTTCCACGTGATGGCTTTTGCAGACTGTGCTAGGATAGGGAACTGTCTGGGGTAAGCTCCCCCGACTGTCTGCTCACACACCGGGGTTTTCTTTCTTCACATCTAAGAGAATGTTGGGGGAGGAATTAATTTGTGTTCTAAAGCAAGAGCTTGCCAACCTGGCTCCTCTCCAAACTSTGCTATCTTTACTACTGTGCATCTCATCCTCCAGCCTCTGCTATTTTCTCTAAGAAATAGTAAACACTAAAAGTATTTTAGAGATTTCCCTAACATCATTCTCCAGCATTAATCCAGAAGRAGCTCTATTCCATGCTRTGTTTTCCACCYAAARAGGAGGAACACATCTTCTGGCTCTRCCACTCTGGGTAGWGCAGAGCTTTAGGGGTTCCTGCACCCTTCAGACAGAGAATTACTCCCACACTGCCTTCTCTGCAGGGCAGGACATGGAAATCCTCCCTTAATTCACACCCCTGTTTCTAATTGGGGAGGAGGATTGTTTTAGGTATTTGTRTGTCCAAGAAGAGTTCTTTTAAAAGAAGATCCTACACCATTCCCAGAGCAGAGGAGCYTTATCAGTTACCCATGGCACAATGCTCAACTGCTGAAGCTGAGGACGAGAGCAAATGGAAATGAACTGGAAAAAAAAATTAAAAGGACCGTGCATTTTTGTGTTTTGTACTGCTATTCGTACCATGGAAAAGCAGAACAAATTTAAACCTTAGCATAACTCCAGACTGCACGTACTACCCAGAGAAAAGCAGATAATGTATTTTGGTCAGTAATACCAGAAAAATCAATTAAGAAATAAAAAAAAAAGAAAAAAGAAAAAAGAAAAAAAGCCAGACATTTCTGGCCATAGAAAGTGAATGAAATAGGACTTCCAGTGGATGGAAAGCCTGGGGGAGGCAATGTGTTATCAATCTCAGGTCGTTGTCTGCTACTGTAATCTTGCCCCCACAGATAAATCCCATGTTAGGCTGCCTAAAGTAAACCAGCCCATGGGGGCGTTTTGCTCACTTTCTAAATAAAAAAAAAAAAATAAATAAATGAAAAAAAAAACCTAGCTAAAAAAGAAAGGGGAAATCCCCTTTCGGTGTAGCCTGGGTGAGAAATCAGCTCTTCCTCGGGCTGGCTGATGCTTACCTTTTAAAAACAATTAAAGCCGGTGCGTACTCGGGGGGAGGCAGCTCCAACACGTGTGTCACCCGTGTCTGCTTCGCCATCAGCATGTATGGCTCATCATCTGTCTGCTCTGAACAATAACTGTTAGGTTAGCAGCCTTTTCACTTGTGAATGTAAATATTGTATCTAGAACACAATATTTGAAACACAAAATACAGTGTTATTAAGACAGCACTCACACATCAATTCTTGTGTGACTATAATTTGTGAAATGCCTTAGGAGGGGCTTATAAATAAAGTATAAGGTGTTATTATGAAATACATTTTAACCAAATGCACAGAAATGTCTCATTCCTATTGAAATCAATAGCAAAACTCCCACTAATTTCAGTGGTAAAAAGAGGAGACCCTTGCAAATCGCTGCGTTACGCTGAGCGAATGCATCACAGCAGATTTCAGCCTTCACGAACTWATACAGCTCTGGAAGAAAAACAGGGGTGAAAACGGGTATTAGAGGCTGTTGAGAGCACGCTGAAGRTTTCTCGTGCCGCTGGTTGTGGTTCCTGGCGAGGCAGGAACAGTGATGTGTCCCTAAACAGGCACACACATCACCGCATCGCCCGCTCCCAGCACCGCTCCGGGGCTCTTTGGGCGCTGGGGCTGCTCGCCCGGCCCCCGGCAATAGCCAGAGCATTGTCACCGGGGCTGGGGGGTGACATCCCCGCTGTCCCACCCGGGAAATGCCCGCTGGGGACGCGGAGAGCAGGGCACGGCTGCTCTGGAGCCGCGGAGCCCCCGGCGCGCTCGGCAGCGGCTCTGGAGGCGAGCGGCGCTCCGGGCATCAATGCCCCGGCTTCTTCCCGATGTGCAGCCAGCCAGGGACTTCTCCCCGCCGAGCTCCTTCCACAGGGCACGGTAAAGAACCAGTGAGCCAGAAATGTCTCCTGTCCGCCGTGTCCAGCCAGCTTGTCACTGGAATGATCTCCGGCTCCGTGCGCGCTCACGCAGCTCTGTCCATGACCGCGGAGCTGCATCTCCCGGCACAAAAACGCTTCCGAGGGGCTACCACAGCACCGTGGAGGCCACCGGAGACTGCAAAGCCAGGAAAAACCAGGAAAAGCCAGGAAAAGCCAGGAAAGAGCTACAGGGAGCTGCCTCTGCCCGCGCATCGGCACCTGCGGAAACGGCGACGGGGGCGCAAAAGTTGTCTGGGGAAAAAAGGGATGGGAAGGTCTTTTCCGTTCCTGGTTGAGCAGAAGTTGGCATCTCGATAATAAACTCCGTTAGTAGGTATAAACACGGTAATTAGCTGTAGAAAGTGCTGGGTTTGTACCTGTAATTAATTGTTCCCCGAATCAATTTAGCTATGTGAGAAGGCATTAATGCAATCTATCCCTATCTTATAACGTGAAGGTTTGATAAAAATATATATTAAAAAAAATAGAAGTGATCTTTCTTCGATATTTGTGAGTGGATGACTTCCTGGTAATTAAAACTTCACTATGCTGGGATAGCAAATATACTAAAAACTGACCAATATCAATTAAAAAGAAATATAAGCTCGTTTTTGCTCGCTTTGGGGTCTTCATTTTAACAGCTATCGTCTCATGCTTCGAGCAAAGCTGCTCTTTTTCCCTGAAGGATTCAGAGTTTACGTGCTTTTCCTCTCATCTGCAGCACAGCCCTGCTGTCCCCGAGTCTCCWGTGAAGTGCTATCTGCAATGACAAATATGCCAAAAGGAAAACATAACCAGCCTAGATGCTATCTTTGCTTCACAAAGGCCGCTTGTGATGCCTGTGCTTTGACTCAAAACTCCCTGCACACTGGCTTTTTAATCATGAGATCCCTTTTTTTTCAGCACAGCATCGAGAGTAACAACTGCAGCACAATGAGGCAGCTTCATAGATATRGGAATGTTTAGATTTCCCTGCCAGTGACTAAAGGCCTTTAGCTTTCACTAGCCAGTCCCAGCTCGCATTGTTGTTGCCTGTTGATTTGTCTTCTCTCATTATTCCTTGACATGCAGCTCTCCACCCACGCCCACACTAACAACCCTCACACAAAGCGCATTGAGGTATTAACCAGGTTACAAGTTCAATGGAAAATTACACTAAGATTGTGCTGTGTGGCAATATAAAGGGATGGCATTCACTCTCCCAAAGAGCCTGTTAAAAACACAGCTGGGTTGTTTTTTTTCCCCTTTCAAGCATCCTAACAAAAACAATTTTTAGAAGTCGGGGATGTATATCTTTGGGTGCCCATATTTTAGGTGTGATTACAGCAGGCAGACACRGCTGGCACGGTGCAAACTCGCCACTGGAAATTCTGGAGTTCCTTTAGAGCATCCCCAGAAAGCTGAGCTAAATAAACAGCCTCCTCCTGCTCTCAGCTGCAATTAGATACGTGAACCTATCTTCTTTTTGTTAGCCCAAATTACAGGCTGGTGGAAGGGCTGAAAGTCTATAAAAAAAAACCTTCCTTAAGATTAAGAATCGCTCCTTACTGAAAACTGAAAATAAAATCAAAATAAAACTTAATGAGATTAACCTAACACAGTAACAAAATTTGCAACACCACACTATAAGGTTAAAAAGAAAATAGTATAATAAAGGAAATACAAAGGCTTTGGCATGGTTTTTACAATCAACAATGGTTAATCTTGATATGTAGTTGTGAACAACTTCAAAACACTTAAGTTTAAAACTCTTGCAAGCACTTTTAATTGATTAGGAATGAATTCTAGATGCACAAAGATGATTGGACTGTGAACAGTAGTACAACTATATCTAAGAACAATTAACTCTTGCCGACCAAAAAGAAACGTATGATGCATGAAAATGTGTATAAAACATCTATAGAATATTCTTGTCAAATATAAATGAAATTAACTTTATTATAGAAATCATTCTGGGAGATTTCTAGGGAAGACAAATACTTACATTTCGACATAAAACAAATTGGATTATATCGAAGACACAATCTACCTTTTATCTATCAAACTCTTTTCTTCATCGAAGCTCTCTCTTAACCCCTGTTTGCACATAGCTTCAGCCGTTAACAACCTTTGGAAATACCAACAGATATTTTTCTTACATAAATCTAGTGCGTATTGTTCCAGGTTTAATTATATGCAATGGAATGATACAAACTTGGAACGTCAATCCATAATCTATGAACAGATTGGTAGAAGTATTCGATATATCTTGATAAAACTCTTAAATTCGTGGCAAAGCTTGTTGATCATGGCTTCTTTTTTTTTTTTTT